AAAAAAAAAAAAAAAAATCTCCTCGCCGCTCCGCCTGCCCCCGAGATGCTGTTGCTATCCCTGCTCGTTTTCCTGCCCATCCCAAGCTCGCGGTTTTAACCCTTCTATTTTTGCGATCCTTCCCTTGTTTTAAACCCGGTTATCCCAGACGCTCATCTGTAACCGTTCGGTTATTTATCCCAATTTAATCCTCAATTTCCTTCATTAATATTTAGTATTACACAGCAGAAGCGAAGATTTACCTTTTTTTCTGCAGATGAGCGCTTTATTTGGCTGGGGGATGTGCAAAACAGATGGACCGTGCACTAAACTATCTTTTTTGTTAAGCCAAGGACATACTCATTTGACTTCTTAAAGGCAGAGTATGAATTCTGGGTATTACTTGCCAGGCGGCTCCAACAAGCCGCGTTTATCCAGGTATGAATTAGGCTAGTTACGCTTTATCTCCGTGGTATGGTCAATTCCCAAGCTGGTACCAAGTTTGTCCTGACGAGCTCTAATCTCATGGGTATTATTCAGCATGTTCATTAATGTTCTGAGCAAGGACAGAAAGGACAGACTGCAAACCGAAACATTTACAGGGCCCCTGTTTTAGGACCCTAATACCATCCACTACATGCTTGGTATTAGAAAGAAATTTCCCCCATCCACATATTAATATACGCACGTCTAGCAGAGTCCCTCGGTTTCCTCTAAAGCTTTTGGTCCTATGACAGAGATTAGGGAGAGAGCTGAAACACCAGCGGTCTGATCAGGGAGGACACACTTTCGTGTTTTCCTTCCTGCTACCAACATTCTGTGAAAGTTTTTACTGGGTGTCACCTGTTTATCCTTGTAGTACCTGAAGCCACACTGGGCAATTTACCAAAATCATTCTATAACGACCACCATCAAGAACATTTTCATCCCCTTCACAGATCAGAATAAAGTATATTCCGCCGTGCAATATGAAGAGCAACTTGTTATAAGCAAATGTTTTGCATTTGAATTGGCATCTAAAAGTAAACAAAGAAACAAAAAGCATACTGAGCAAATCCTAGCCCATAAGGGCTTACGAAGGCAGGCCTAAACTATTCAGATATGTGTTTGTTTTTAGAGGCTATAGAATTCTTTGGAGGATATAATCTTTTAGCTATAAAAATGTTAATAAATACTTGGTTTAAAATGAATAAAAAGCTTGCTGTTCTCTCTTATGAAGTTTGCTAAGTGTAGTCACAAGAACAAATACCAAATATTTTGTTAAAACAAGTGAAAGTTGCATATGTCAAAATGTTCTTCAGCAGCAGCATTCTTGCATATTTATTGCTTTTCTCTTGTTTAAAGTAGCATGACATTGTCAGAGCTAATACTAACCAAATAGACACGCATGGATGCAACATATCAGTAAAGACTTTAATTTCTTGTTTCTAAAATAATTTTTAGAACATGTGAAAATATATTTTTAAAATAATTAAAGGTATACTGAGGGTGTTAAAACTTGAAGTGTCAGTAACAATTTTAGTGTATTTTTTTCTCATTTCTTACATACATGTTCAATTACAGACTTCCCGGTATTATGAAGCTTATGGGAATTGGCTAGTGATTCCAAACTCGACACGCTTGCTTAAAATGATCTCTCTCTGCTTTTAGCTCGAAGGAGTACGAGGAAGCTGCACAGTCGTACCTTACTAAATTCTAATGGAAAAAATACTCCCTTAAAAATCTTCACTACATTATTAAATGATCCAAAAATATTATAGGTGGGGCTAGCACAACTGCCAACTGTTATGATTGCCAGATACCTCCTATTATAAGACTGCATTTTCAGTTGCTTAAAAACTTTGCCAAACTTAAACTGTTTGGCTGAAAATTTCCCTCACCAGGTGTGTGTCTCAGGGATAACTTATTTGAAAATCTGCAGCCAAACAGCTTAGACCTTTCCAAGAACAAGCCTATCGAAGCATCAACTGTTTGGCCCACGCTGCTGAATTACAGAAACCTTTTCTTTGAGAAGCTCCTGCATCCCCGTCTTTGGAGCAGAGCTTAGGACGGGAGGTAGCCTGTTAAGGAAGTAGATTTTGCCGCTTCATTCTAGCCGGGCTGTAAACAGTTGAAAACTTCAGATCACATACACTTGCTAGGGACTTGCTGAAGTTTAGTAGGAAAAATTCCCAAAGATCCCACCTTTGCTAAACATGCTGCTTCCTCTCACAGCAGTCCAGGTTGACGAGATGGCACATAAGGCCACCACATGCTCTACACCAGAACTATGTAATTCAGCCCTGTAATGGCTGAACTAGGCTCAATCAGAAGCACCTATCTGGGTGCCATGAAACAAGCGTCTTTGATGAAACAAGCGTCTTCGGCTCTTAATACGTCTCGTGCTTGCATCCAGGCAGCCTAGTGGAAGTTGTTTGATTTCAGTATGGAAGAACTAAAGATATCAAACCAGAACAGAAGAAAAAGAAGGGAGAAGGACATCAGTAAACTGACAGAGCCCCGCAGAGAAAGGGAGGCAGGTTGGGTGCAGAAGGTGGGAGCAGACTCTCAACCTGATCAGGGAAGCTAAAACTATTTGCAAAAAGAAACTGGACTTCTTGGCTGGGGAAGCAAATGGGAGCAGGTAGAAAAGAGACAGTGCTAAGAAGCCAGGACATTGTCAAGAGAAAAGAGGGAATCGCCAACAATTCTGTGTTGTTTCTCTATGGAGGTGCTTTAAATAGAGAATTATCTTCTTATTGCCATCAGTTGGCTCAAGTAGCAGGGCACTGTGGGATGGCTCAGAATATTCCACTCCTAATGACTCATACGGATGTCAGTAGACTGCTACAAGATAAAATCTCTGTTTATGCAATTTGCTTTTAAACCCCCTCTAACTTGCAAAAAATGACATGCACAAGCATGTGCATTCACACACACATACACATGCATACACGTGTTAAAACTGTATTAAAACAAGGGTTAATCTTGTTCAAACAGGATTAAAGGGTGCAGAATCAAACAGAAAAAATAGGAATAAAATCTACTGTGCAGCAACGCTTTCTGCATACAGCCCTTGTATGATACAATTCTCACTCACAGGCCTGTATTCCATCTTTTCTGCTGGGTCCCAGCTTCACTTAATGGATGGAACAAAACAATGCCAGTATTAGCAGCTACTCAGTATTTTGTATTCTCCTCACCGAATAATGTGCAGCCCCATGTCTTATTTACTGGACGCTTCTCAAACTACCCACTGGAGCCTGAATTACAAGGTTTTCCTATGGCACTTCTTACCATTGTGGTCCTTGAATGCTTCTCAGAGAGCCACTAATTTATCTTCACGAAAATCCCGTGAGCTGAAGGAGAGATACTACCCACATTTTAAAGAGTGAAATTTGGGACAAGTATCCCATCCATTCTGGGTGCTCAAACTGAGAGATTAAGAACCTGGCTTTCCAAGTTACTTGGCTTTAAAGTACCGCATATATTGGCATTGTATGTTGAAAGCACCTTTCCCCTAGATTTCACTGGCAGTGGCAAATGCTTGCCATAGTTCACAACCAAATGAGAATATGAGGAACCAAAATTAACAGACTTATAATTTGAGCGTGTTAAAAAACTAAAGTAAAAGACTTGACCTAATGTATTTCTGCCAAATACACACACCTCCTTCTTTACAAGGCAGTTTTAAAGCGAGTAATACCACGCGCTAGGGGGTTATGTAATGTTTCCCATTATCCCAGTTTAATAAAAGTTGTTTTCTTAGCATTATAGTGTCAGAACACAATATAAAATAAAATCAGTTTAAAAAACTATTTTCTACCCTTTAATATCTTTGTTTTAAGTAAATATTAAGCTTTGGGGGAGGTTTGACTCATAAGTACTGAGCTGTCTAGTTGACAATACCAGTAATGCCTTAGGGGGAGGTGTAATGGGTTGCTGAGCCTTCCCTTTTTTGTGTTTGAGCGGAATACAGTACGCATGGGTTATGATTCACAGTTGCTGTAACTGATGACTGCTCAGTGGTCCGCATGGACTGACTCAGGTGTTCTGAACTGAGGGCAAGTGCTCAACACTACCAAGTGACCATCAAAAATACTTGCCAGGCCAAAGCGCCATCAACTTCCCTAGTCATTTCTCACAAAAGGAAGACTGAAAGACCGCAGAAAATGCACATTTCTTTTACACTACCAGAGGTGGGAGGATACGTGGTCAGGGCAGCAGGGGGAAGGTCATAGTGCTCTTACTGGAAAGTCTGTCGATATCAGAGTTTCTTGTTATTTTGGATGACTGTTATTCTAGTAGCACTTTGTTCAATTTGTTCTGCATCTTCTGAATTTTCATCGTTGTTTCTTGAATATTTTAAGTGTTTTGAAGAGTGCCTAGAGCTGAAAATCATTACTCAAAGAAACCTGTATTAACATGAATTCCAACGTTAACTTTTACAGGCATCTTTGAGACACTCCAGTTGCAGTACTGCTTTAACCTAGCTACGGAAGCAAAACTCTAAGTGGGATAAATCCAAAAATCACAGGAAACATGAGTTCTGAAGTTAAATGTGAGGGTATTTGAAAAGAAAATTGTTTTTCAAGGTGAATGATTTTGTAAGAACTCACTGCAAAGAGATCTAACCATAAATATCTTTTTCATAGCAACAGGAAACCTTGAGCACCAAAAAGGCAGGCTGGGTCTCTGGAAGTATAAGCTTCTACATCATAGCATAATGATGCAAACAGCAAAGATCTTGAACTAAAGCGTGGTCAGATGACAGTTTCCAACAGCAGACGCAGTATGCTTTAGTGAAGTAGCAAACAGTTGCCTGAAGATATGCTAGACACAAATTGCTCTCAAATTATGATGGTAATGGGCAAAATGTTGATAACGTGGTTTCCAATACAAGGACCAGCATCTTCTCAACGGAACAGTGATGACTGTTTGGGGTGAAATGTTCTTAGTACAGTGCTATAATCTGAAACCAACCTTGCTCAGGGCAAGCTTGACCAAGGCTGAAAAAATTATTCCAGGAGAGATACAGTTCGAATAGTCCAAACAGAATTTGTAAAGGACTCAAGTATTATTTTGAAGGCACTCTTCTGATCTGGAGAAATGCAAATTCAAGTTTTTCCCTACAAAATATTTTTCCATTCTTGCCTCATCTCAGGACTTCTATACAAAACTTCTCAAGAAATGCACTCATAAAAAACTATGCTAAAATCATATTCTGGAATCCTAGCAGTCATAGGTCAGAACAGCTGACCTACATGGAAGAAATGTCCCAAATCAACCCCAATTGTTGGCTAGTGTGTGAACATTTTCAGTGAAAAAACCCCAAACAACCTGAATGTGAAAGCAGCTCTTTCATTTTCTTACGGAATGTTAGGTAACTTCTGACAAAACTTTCCATTTTTAAAAATCTGTTTCTTTGGAAAAGGTACAACTCACCTCCCTGTACTCTCATAATTAGGGAAAAATTAATCTGGTAAGTGATCTACTGAAGAAAAAGTAGGAAAACTAAGGGTTAAAGTTGCTACGTTTACAATGCACACTTAATTTTGAAAGGTGAAAAGGCAAGTGGAAAAAAAAGTGTGTAGGAGATGAGAAAGTACTGGAGCTTCCTTCGTAATGTGTTTCCCAACCACTCACTGCGGTTCATACTCTGAATAAAAGTCGTATTATTCTTATCTAAACCATCTCAGAGCAGCATTCACATATTCTGGAACAAGACATACGCTCCTGGGAAGTAAGGCTGATACCTAAGTAGAAAACTAGTGGAAGAAGTGGCAAAAAAACCCAAACAGGCCTCTGTTCAATGAATTAAAAAAGTAAAAATCAACCAACCAGAAATTTAAACTGATCTAGTTAAGTGTTAACTTATTTCCTAGCTCGTTTCTTTTTCTCACAACATTCATTGTTATTGAAACATGGCTTTTTGTTTATGAATTTACTTCTAGCATAGGACTGCTTGACAAACAATGTTTATGCATTTTGTCATATGTCATTAGTTTCTTCCACATAACTATGCATGCTGACACTAAAAGATACCTTCCACATTTTTTTACTCTAAATAGATTAGATTTTGAATTATTTTAAAATAAAATAAATAATGAAAAATGGGGTGGAGTAGTGAAATCGATGTTAATTCAGTTGCATTTTTAAGGTTATTCTGACATTTGAAAAAGTGGTCAAGCACATTCTGCCTGCTTGTTTTTACACACAGATACATCTGTCAGAAATTCATGCACAAGCTTGTATGGGACTCCTAGTATTGTGTGTGTTGTAAAATAAATCTGTATTGGTCTGCTCCCAATCTAAATATACTGTGACTAAAGCTCTCACATGCAGATATAAATCTAGCAAATCAAAATCTGTTTCCAGGAGCTGTAACTTATTGAATTTATATACAAAACCTAACAGGTGATGAAAAAAAAATACATCAAAGATTACTTTAACTCTACCGTAATGCACTTCTACTATTAGATCTTATTTTATTGAATGATTCATGCCTTATTGGCTTTTCCAGATTTGCTTTTATATTTCCGCCTTGCTATTTTAAGATGTATTATCTTTAATCCAAAAACTGCCATCCTACCTAAACCTACTTAGAATTTTCTATGATGAACTCTCATTGAATGTAGATTAGTGAGAATTATGGATCTTTCACGGTGCAGTCTGAGGGAACATACCAACCACAGCACAGCATAACCCAAAAATGTCTTACCCACCTTCAAATTTTATAATATCAAGATTTAAAGCTACAAAATATGAGGGATTTTTCTCTTCACTGAGCAAAAATAATAGAAGACACACTGATTTGTGTTCAGCTTGTGCTTCGTAGCAGAAAGCCGCACAGCTTTCATATATTCATGTATTATTTGTACTGTGGGCAGAACCTATGAAATGGTGTGTTGTTTTGGTAGAAAGATGCTAACAGGGATTCAAATCTCAGAGTGGAAGGGAGCTTAAAACAGGACAAAACTCATCTGGAACTTGACTGCTTTGTAGGAAATTCTCCTATTTAGAGCCACCACAGATGTTTTGCCTGAATCTGACTGCACATGCAGTTAGCAGAAAATGAACAGAAAATTGCAATTATTTGGGAAAGACCAGGGCAATTATTTAAAAAAGTAAGTTGAAGGTTTTATATCCAGTACTTTCTGTTCACTTAAGATACAACACCACTCCCCATTTAAAAACTCTAAGAAGTTATTTCCCTTGTCATTTAAAGGAAACTGGAGTATACTGTGCAGTTTAAAGTTATCAGAAATACTGAACATTTATATTGCAGTAGTGTACAAGGACTATAACTTTGGGCCCAACTGTGTTCAGTGCTGAGCAATGACAAAGACTTTGATTCTCAAGCCTTTAGGGCAATGGCCCTTTTTACAAAATAAATAAAAAAAGCTGACATATTTGTAATATACAATCTCAATTTTTAGTTGAAGAAGTAACATTTTAAGGGTATTCCTCTGCAGTTCAGAGTAGTTAACAGCAGCTACAAACAATGAAGTATTAATTAAAAAAACCACTCTAACTTCAGCACCTTATTGTCTAAATTAAATGTTTTCCTTTTCTAAAATACGTAATAGGTTACTCTGAAGTTTCCCCCCAAATTCTGACTGAGTTAGTGCATGATTATTTTTTAATGGAAAATCTCAATATGCTTTTTCTGCAATAAAAACGTTTAAAAGATAAAATTCTTTAAAAGTATGTTTTCTTACATTGGTAACTGCAGAAAATAAAAAAAAGAACAAGATAGTTTAGTTTGGTGCTTGTATTTTGTATTATCAACTCATATTGAGTTCAGCATTTTTAAAATAGAAAAACTTAAGATTAAAAAAAATCCACGTGTGAGGTTTGTTTACAAAAAAAAAAAAATCCAGTTATTGCTCAGTTATTCTTTATATGTGTAGATGGGGAGCAAGTTCATATTACTTCGAAACAATAGCTTTTGTTCTTGAGATATATTTTAGAGGCAGAAAAATACTAGTTGCTGCAGCACTATGAGTTCTTGATATATTGAACAGTAGAGGAAATAATCTCAGAAACTATGTAAACTGCTTCCAGCCTGAACTTAGCAGGCTGCTTTTTTGCCAGTATTTCAAAACATGTTTAGCTGAATAAGCATATTTTCGACATTACAACAGGGTGTAATCACTTTTTCATCTGATCTGCTCTTCATGTACGCTTTATTACAAAAAGCTGGAAAGTAACACATGGCGAAAAAACAGGCATAAAGAAAGTTAAAATAAAAAACGACTCTGAAACATTTTCCATTTCCCCCCAGCACCCTCCCCAGTAAAATGCATGAAAAAATCTCATGTAGATGATGAGTGTATGACTCACGTGGCAGTTTCACATAGCTTCCTCTCCTACTGTAAGCCTCACTGGGATTCTCTCTCTCACCGGTACTAGCTACCGCATGGTGTATGGATGTTGTTTAAGATGTTTTCTTTCACCTGAAGTGAGCTAAATGGCTTAAGCAGCACTTGAGAAATCGCTCCCTTCCCTCCGCCACACCACTCCAGCGCCAGGGAGCGGGGGTGTGAAAGCTCAGGCTTCCTAGCAGGGAGAGAGGTGCTGGCACCGAGCTCTCCGTGAGGAGGCCTCCTGCCAAAACAGCCCAAGCACTCAGCCAGAAGTAGCTAACCTTAGAGGACACCGCACGGACCATTTATCTGCTGAGGCTCAGAAGAATATTGAAGGTTGTGAAGGGGATACAAAGCAAATGTATGTCAGTGTGTAACTGTCACAGGACTACAGGTCTGATTCTCCTCTCCAGTCAATGGCCTTACCCCTTAGGACTTGAAAGGACTCAGGATTTCACACAATGAAACACTTGTTCAGCTGCAAAGGGAAAGGCTAGTAAAATGACAAGGCCAAACTACAGAAAACAGCTTCCCCACTCTTCTCTTTCCGGACTTCAGAGGAGATCCCTTGCTTGGCTGGCGTAAACACCCGTAACTCAACTAGAATAAGATTGTTTCACATCAGCCTGGGACCTGGGCTGTGCACGGACAAGGTCGGAGGCAAATATCACTGTGAGGGCAGGTTGGAGGTAGTTCGGTTACCTTGTTTTGAGAAAGACAGTGTCTGGGCTCGAGATGTCATTCAGTTTACTGATCTGGTGTGGAAGAGCAGAGCATGTGGTTCAGGAATGCAAGCTCGTACTTGTTTCTAAGTCATCTCTGGCTAATACCTAGAGTCAAGCTCCGTAATGAATATTTGAACACTTACACAGACTTTGTGCAAAAGAAAGGAAACTGTTTAATGGAAAAATGACTGCGTGTGTAAATTGTGGGTTAAACATTTTCAGATTGTGTCACTCTTTATAAACAAAAACCTGGCAAAGAGAGTGGTATGACAGACAGGACTGCAAAGCACAGTACATTATAGAGCTTTCCAACTTCTGGTCACTTTTTGGAAAAAATGGGTTTAGTTGGCATTAATTATCTGTTACCTGCTCTCCAGAATTTACTATCGATACTAACTAGCACTGCAGGAGTACTTCAGATCCTTTCTTAATTTTAGGGCACTGATATGGTAGAGTATGCTCTGGAAAACTTACAGGAATATAGATATTAATGAGGAGAAATTCAATGCAGGGAAAGGCTGGGAGCAAGAACAGTGGTTTGGGAATGTGTCACAGTTCACGTTCGGTCCCAGGATGCACTAACAGCTGCACGTGGGACCAGAACCCTGTCCCTGGGGAGCATGGGGCGCGGGTGAAAAGAGGAAGGAAAAACTGGATTGTCATTGTGCATCAGGTCAAAGAAAGTAATCCATTCATTCTCAAAGTAGGACTCTTGTAAAAGCTGTTCACATAGATACTAAAAAGCACAATCATAATTTGCTGTGGCTTTACCACCTTTGTGTAGGAGCTGATGAGAAGGTGGGAGACCTCTATATCCTAGGTCAGGGATTTAAATGTATGGGTGTAGGGCAAACTGGAAAACTTGCCCATATATTATCAGTAATTATGTCTGCGAGATCAAGAACATGGTCATCCAGTGCTACCTACCTGCATGCTTGTTGAGCTACCCTCAACTTTGCAGACAGCTAGTCATCTTTCCTCTTGTTTTCTCAGAACATGTTTTAGTGCCAACGGACAGGATAGGGCAGGGGGGTACAACTGCCGTTGCTCTGATGGAGCAATACCTGTCCAGTTGGGTTTATTTTTATATATAGATTCAATTTACTGTATTTATGTGTCTGTGTTACTGCAGCTGTTTTGCATTTTTTCATGCTCACACTAGTAAATGCCAGGGACAACAGCCTGATTAATGATGACAAGACTGAATTAGGTTTGTGACTAAGGGCTGTGTGATCATACAGATTCAATCATTTTGCACGAGCAAAATGGGGAAGAAAGACTAAGGGGTAAACAAATGAAAATGCTGTCTTTAAAATAAGATCAGTAGTCCAGCAACACAATATGGAAATAAAGTAGTATCGCTGACTTCAGGGCTCCCTTTAATTCCAGAGCTGTATGTTATGACTTAGTGTCATCTGTTGTTATTTCAACCTTAAGGTATCCAAATATTGGTAAATACAAATAAAATGGGGAAGGAGGGAGAGCAGAGTTAAAAACTAATCAGAGTGCTCCCCCAAAATATGGAGCCTTTTCTTTACAAAATTTAAGTCAAAACTAATCATGAGACCATAACATATGGCACTTTCAGCACAGTTGGGCAAATAGCGCCCTTTTACGTTGATTGTGTGAGGTCAGGTGATAGCAATGTTGAGATTTGCAACCATCACTACAATAATTGAGTTTGCTTGGGATTATCAGGAACAACTACGAATGTTTCATTTGAAAGAAAACTCATGCAACTCTTTATTTATTATTTAGCTAATAGGAGGGGCTGTTGATCTATGAATGTTCACCTAGTATTTAGAAAGGAAAATGCAGTAAAGTGTTTTCCTCCATATATCAGACTATTTCCTTATCTTTAAGGGCTGAATATAACCATTTATAAGTGGACAAAAATAGCTTTTGAAAGATACTACAGTATTTTCCAAGTTACAGAATGTCTCTGAAAAAATGCATTATGCTGTCAAACATAAATAAATAACACTATTTCACACGGGGAAGTTATGATGTTGAACCTGCAAACACCTCCATCTTCTGCCTATAAATATGCTATGTAGAAGACCTATCCCGAATCACCAGCTTTCCCCACCTCCTCGGGACCATTACAGCTCAGGAGGCCTTGCCTAAGAGTATCTTCAGCCAGAAGAACTAGACTGGCAGTATAAAATGCTTTACCCTGATAATAATGTTATATGATGCCTGCTCTGGAAAGGTCTGCTTTTCTCCTAAACCCCCTGGCTACTAATTAAGCTTTCCTCCCATCTCACTTTTTGGTCAATTGAGACTCACCCTCTTTGATCTACGATGCACCCAAAACTATGGAATTAAAGTAAACTTCTATGCCGGTCCTTCTGTTCAAATACTGTCACCCATTACCTTAACGTGTGTTATGTCTTGTCTAGGTTACAACTTATCTACGGTGTCTATTTGCGTAATTCTACAGCAGAAGAGTCCCTCCTGCGATGGCCCTAAACTCCACAAAACGACGAGTTCTGCAAGTCTCAGGTTTCTTTAACGTATTTGGAGGCTGAACCAGGGGTGATGCCTCTATAGTTGAGTCATTTTTTCCTCATTTTCCACCTGTCCTTTGCTAAGCAGAACACACACATGCTGAAGGATGGCAACCTGCATGCCCAATTCACGTGGAGCTTTTGCAGAGCAGCCTGGTAGTGAAGTACCCATCAAGCATTCCCTCTGAAGAGGCTTAGTGGCTCCGAGTCCTCCCTGCCAGCTACTAGTTGGAAGGCAGAAATTAGCCAAGACATAGAAGTTTTAAGGCACATCAGAAGGCTAAAAGCATGGCGTTATAAATATAACTTTTCATTCAGGGGGTTGATCTACCAATTCTGAAGTGGCAAAGGATGCTTTATTGTGTGCATTGTCTATAAAATGACATACTAGAGCATCTTCTGCCTTTAGAAGGCTGCAAAGGCCAGTACATACCATTGACAGAGTCCAGCCCACTTCTACAAAGATTACCTTTATAAATCCATAAAGATTTATAGTACAAACATTTCCAATACAGTCGTTGGTGATTTTGCCTGAACTCCAATATATTATTACATGCAAAGACAGTAGCCAGCAGCCATTCAGAAGCGCTCAGAGAATGTGTTAGCAGTTAGTAAGTGAATTCATTTTTCTGTTTTAAAATCCTTTCAAGAAATGAATAAACTACGATAACAATAGAATCTTTAACAATATTACTCAGACAAATGTTTGGACATCTGACATGCTAGAGTGAAGTGTGATAGCATCTATCATCAGCCGATGCAGTGCAATTATACAGCATTTCCCTGCAATCAGGAACTGCGTCAGATTAAAATGCTGTGCTGTAGAGGCAGGCAAAGAACTTCCTTGCAGAAACAGAATCACACAGTCCTTACAGTTTTCCCCTACCGACACCAGGAATGCACAATAAACAGAGGAATTTCAGGTGTGTAGTTGGGGGGGGGGCACCAGGCAACTGACCCTCACTATCAGTGGGAGTTACACCTGTGAAATAATCTTTCAGATACTTAAAACCACAGTATATTTAACTACAAGACATTTGTGGCATAACCAAATTTATGGATGAGAGTCTCCTTAAGTGAGTCATGCAGTGCTGACAGAAATGCTGATACAAACTAACATAAAACTGTATCTTCCTAATATGCAGAAAGAAACCTTTTTTTAAGGTTTTTAAGAATCCATTAGAGCATTCGGCATTTTTACTGGGCACTACTTCAGTCTCTGCATTTTAAAACCAGTTACTTTAGTTACCAAAAGTTTTGCTGTGCAAAGATCAGAGCGCTAGTAAGTGTTGGACTCCCTAAAAATATTTTAAATGTTTCTTACGCAATGGAATGCTACAATTTTCCAATGTCTGATATCTCAAGACTTTTATAGGCTTGAAGTTGTAATTTGCACTCAAGTGAGTGCCACTTGAGGAATAAAACTCCCTGTTTCTATTCCGCCAAATTATCGGACCCTAAAACTGTGCCACTGATGTGAGACTAAATACTGCAACTACTATAATTCTTTATTTAGGTACCTTCTTTATTTAGGTAATAAAACATATTTGTGGTAGATGTTGATTTTTCTGTTAGATTTCTGCCATTCTGAGGTAACAGAAAATTTTGCATGTTAGAGAAAGTCATGAAAGAGCTAGATTAACAATAAAAATACATGAAAAGCAGTTTATCCGGTCAGTATCACCATACTGCTAGACAGGACAGTACACAATAAATCTGTAGCATGCATATAACATCAATATGTATACCTGGAAGCTTTTATCATTTATACATCAAAAAATCACGTTCAGCAGAAAAGAGCTAACTACATTTGGTTCTGGGTTTTTCTGTTCATTTTCACTTTGTTTAGAAATACACTTTTTTAGGTGAAACATGATAAAATGTCTTTGAGAGTAAACTGTTTAGTTCACCTCTCT